GGATAACTATGGTGATCTTACCTTTACGTATTTTTTACGAAAAGAATGGTTTTATACGTAAAATTTTATTGTTCTATGTTTTGTTTCTCTCTTTTATGAAAATAATATAATTTCTTACTATAGAAGATATTTTCTGGAGATGGTTTTGGCAATTTCCCTCGAGGAAAAAGCAGAAACTCCTATTAATTGATTGTAATGGCTTTTTGAGACTTGAAGACTGACAAAAAAACAAAAAATCAAAATCTCTTATCGTACCCACACACACACCTCCAATGGAGAGCATTGGCAGCCATTGTTGCAGCTCTCCTTTCACCTTCATCACCAGGAACTCTTCCTTTCCCAGAATCGTTAACTTCACTCGCACAGTTCGTCTTCCTCGCCAATCGGAGCGACTCAGAAATTCCCCTTCTCGTCTTACCTGCACTGCTTCTTCTTCCACCATGTATGACTTCTTCTTCTTTTCTCTGCTTACGTTCTGATCGGATACATCTGTTCATTTCTTTTTCTAATTCGGATTCGATCTGAGCCAGTGAGGAACACCGGAAGAAGGATGCGTCGGGAACGAAGGTGAAGTTGAATGTGAGGTTAGATCATCAAGTTAAATTCGGAGAGCATGTAGCTATGTTTGGATCAGCTAAAGAGATTGGATCATGGAAGAAGAAATCGCCTCTTAATTGGACTGAGAATGGATGGGTTTGTGAGCTTGAGCTTAGCGGAGGACAAGTTTTGGAGTATAAGTTCGTCATCGTCCAGAAAGACGGTTCACTTTCATGGGAATCCGGTGACAATCGCGTCCTTAGACTTCCCAATTCCGGAAGTTTCTCCGTCGTCTGCCACTGGAATGCCACCGGAGAAACTCTTGATTTTCCTCAGGAGGTCGCTAATGATGCTGGTGTACACGACGGCAGCGATAACAAGGAAGTTGGTGAAGATAGAGTAGTGGTGAGTGAAAATGGTGCTCATCTGCAGAAAAGCACATTGGCGGGGCAATGGCAAGGCAATGACGCGTCCTTTATGCGCTCTAATGATCATAGCAACAGAGAAGTCGGCAGAAATTGGGACACTACTGGTCTTGAAGGCACAGCTCTCAAAATTGTCGAGGGTGATCGCAACTCTAGGAACTGGTGGAGAAAGGTAATCTTTATGAACTGAAATGTGAACGATTTCAGTAGGCGTTTCTTTCAATTTTCGACTCGTAGTTTCGTCATTGTTTTCCTTTGAAAATGGCAAAGGATGAAACATCTCTTGTTGTTTAATGTGTTCAAGCTTGAAATGGTACGCGAGCTTGTAGTTGGGAGTCTTGAGAGGGAGGAACGGTTGCAGGCGCTCATATACTCTGCAATTTATTTGAAGGTTTCTCTTTTCTTTTTATAAGCTAATCTATATCTTTTCTTATATGTCTCGGAGTTTCACCATGTTTACCTCCTCTTTCTTTGTTTGGCTTTTCTTGCAGTGGATAAACACTGGTCAGATTCCTTGCTTTGAAGATGGAGGGCATCACCGTCCAAACCGGCATGCTGAGATTTCTAGGCTTATATTCCGTGAGTTGGAGCACATTTGCAGCAAGAAAGATGCTACAGCAGAGGTGACACATTTTTCTTTACTGTTCTAAAGTTCTATGGAACACTTTTAAGTTCTCTGTTTTCACGGTCTCCCCTCTCAAAAATCTGTAGCTGTTGTTTACTTAGTACCTTCTCTGATGCTTTTACTTGGTAGGAAGTGCTTGTTGCTCGGAAAATCCATCCATGTTTACCTTCTTTCAAAGCAGAGTTTACTGCATCTGTGCCTCTAACTAGAATTAGGGACATAGCACATCGCAATGATATTCCTCATGATCTCAAGGTAATACTCTCTATAGCTGTTTTGTTATTAGAATATACTGTCATAGTATTCATATAACCCATCTTTCTTCCAGCAAGAAATCAAGCATACCATACAAAATAAGCTTCACCGGTGTGCGGGTCCAGAAGATCTAATTGCAACAGAAGCAATGCTTGAAAGAATTACCGAGATCCCAGGAAAATACAGTGGAGATTTTGTGGAGCAATTCAAAATTTTCCATAATGAGCTTAAGGATTTCTTTAATGCTGGGAGGTACTATATTTTTGAAGCCAAGCTATTCTTTCATCTAATTTACGCCCACAAACTGTATAATTTAATAGCTCTTGTATCTTGTTGCAGCCTCACCGAACAACTTGATTCTATGAAAATTTCTATGGATGAGAGAGGTCTATCTGCTCTCAATTTGTTTTTTGAATGTAAAGGGGTAAGTTCTCACTTTTCTCTTTCTTGTGATTTGGTGCTAAATGGTCCATATCGTTTTTTCTTTCTGAAAAACGTATGCAATATTTATTGGGTTTTCTTGCATGATCTTCTGAAGTTGTATGCCCTAGGCAGAACAATGTTAGTGTATAATTATTAGCCAGCATGAAGATGCAGTTCAAATCGATAATCACCCCATTCTTGGTTGCACTCTTCTTTCTAAGAAAAGGAAAGAAAATCAATTATCAAGAGGATGTAGAAAAGCCACAAAAGGAGAAATGTTTGTGACACGTTGATATGTGTCTGTACAATCACATCATTTGATAAATTGCGCATATTATACACAACCATCCTTGCAAAGTTTTTATTGTAGTCTCTTCATGATATTGACTGTGGAATTCATATTTACAGCGCCTTGATGCATCGGGAGAATCAAACAATGTTTTGGAATTGATAAAAACCATGCATTCTCTGGCTTCTCTAAGAGAAATAATTATAAAGGAACTTAATAGCGGCTTGAGAAATGATGCTCCTGATGCTGCTATTGCAATGCGCCAGAAGGTGAGCTTTCTTAGCCAATTCAACA